TGGGCGCTAAGCCGCAGGACCGGTGGGGGTCATATCAAAATAGCTGCTAAATGGATGTTCATCCCCCCAAAAGTAATGGTTTTTATAGGTGTAAGATCCTGTTCGCCAAATGGGGTACGAACCTAAAGTCCAGTGGTTCGTCATCATTCTCCAATTTAATGATCATCATTTTCTCATCAAAAGCGCCATTTTGGAGCATACCAGTTTTGGCCCAACGCATTGATGCAGAAGTCGCCAGCTCATCGTAATCTGTTTGTCCTTTGTTCAAGATCCTTGGCACAGGTGGTTGACCATGTTGAACCATGACCTGAAAAAAGCTGAGTCTTTAAGATCATCCCAGAAGAATCTCGGTTCCCAAACACGAGTTTTGCACCACACTCTTTGGCTTCTGGTACAATAGACGCGACCTGGCACCACTCACAAACTCACAAACACTATGCTCACTGCCTGCATTTGAGTCTTGACGATGATTTGGTCATAAATGACAAAATTACTTCAGGCATCTTATTTCTGTATCCAAATGTATCACCGGTATCTTGTGTGTATGTGTATGTATATATATATATGGACATATGTATATATATGGACATATGTATATATATATATACACATATTATGTATGTGTGTGTATCTTTCAATGGATCAGTTGTTCTGACTTCGTTCAACTACATCAAAGTCGTCAGCGCACCGGGTACACGGAGAGCGTGCTTCCCACGCTACACGGATCAGGTCGCAGCTCCGTGCAGCGCTACATCGATGCTATATGGGTATGGATCAATACCTATAAAAATACAATTTTTAGGAGGATGAACATCAATGTTAACCCAGCTATTTTGGTGTGAACTACAGGGGTACAAGGTTTTGACACACTGTCATATTACTGTCAGTTTGCAACGGTTTGCAAGGTTTCACTAGGACAATACGTCCGATACCCCTTTTGGCCCAAAACCGGGCACAGGGCCCTTGAGTCTTAGCGCGCAGCGCCGAAAAGCCGCACTACGGTGCATAACCAACACTGGTAGCGGAGCGGTGCAAGACGGGACCTACGGGTCGCCGCATCCGCCCTACCTCGGGCATAGCCCAGAGGTTCCTCTGAGGTCCTTGGCCTCAGGAGGTCCTCGGTTCCTCTGAGGTCACCCGGCCTCAGGAGGTCCAAGGTTCCTTCGAGGTCACCTGGCCTCAGGAGGTCCAACATGCCGGACAAACGGTCCTGGCACTCTGGCCACGGTCATGGGTCACGACGGCCCGACCGACGAGAGGACCATGGTGGAGACAGCGAGTACACCTACGAGTACCTCGAAGATGAAGAGTCCGAACAAGAGGACGAGCCGAGGCAGATGCGACCAGCACCTCCGCGCCGCACCGGAACGGAAGCAGCGTATGGATGGGTCACACCGGCCCCCTACGCCTCCGCGGGAGGCGCGTGCGGCGGAGGTTCCACGCACGGTGCCGCGGGAGCCGCCTCCTCCTCCACCAAAGGAGAGGAAGGAAAAGAAGGAGAAAAAGAAGAAGGCGGACTCCAAGAAGGAGCACAAGTCCAAAAAGAGCCGTCGCGGTGACCCCCACGACAGGCGTAGCAGGTCAACAGGGCCGCCCTGCTGAGGAGCGGTCCACAAGGCGTAGCCGGTCACCGAGCCGCCGCCATGGCCACCGGGAGCCACGGTCGCCGCCACGATCCCCGGTAGAACTGCGACGGGCGCCGGGACACAATCCTTACCCGGAAGACATGCCGTCAATGAACACCGGTTCCTCGGGAAGTGGCAATGCCGGTGTGTCTGGTGCACTGCCAACACCGGTAAGCCCAACCCATGGTCCGCCCGACCTGGGGTCAGCTCTTGGCCCGGGTGATTGGGTGTGGGTGTCATCCCCTGGGTACTGGGTGTTCGTGCCCCACGAAGTGCCCCACCAGAAGGGTCGCCACCAGTCCCCTGGATGGGAAAAAGCAAAAAAGGGCGCCACAAAGGGAAGCGGCCCGAGTCCCCGAAGGGCTCGCTGAAAGGCCCTCCAAAAGGCCCGCCTAAAGGAAAAGGCAAAAATCCCCCCAAAGGAAAAGAATCCAAAGGGAAGGGGCAGAAGGGCAAAGGCAAGGGTCACAAGAGGCGCAAAAACCGGCCTGGCCAACACCAAAGACGAAGGCAAGCCGAAGCAGCAGCACAGACCAGAGCCGAGGGAGGCCCGCGCGGACGGCGCCGCCGATCCGACCGCGGTGGTGGTGACGATGATGGTCCGCCCCCCGCTGAAGCGGAAGGTGACGGCCGTGATGCCAGAGACATCCCCCGCCCGAGGGAACATGGCCCAGGCGGTGGGGATGGTGATGAGCCCAGTGACGATGAGGACGACGACGAAGGCGATCATGAGGGAAGGGCTGAGAGTGAGACCCTGACCCATGACCCCGTCGTCGAGCCATCAGAGCCCGAGACTCTGGATCCAGGAGCGGCAGGTCCACACGGTCCTCCGGCTCCGGGTCCAAGAGGGGCCGGGTCACGCGCAAGCACGCCGTTGTTCCCTCCGAGACCCATCGGGAGCCCGCCAGGAAGCTCCCTGGGATCACGAACACGGCCGCGCCCAGCTCCGCCGATCCTACCACCAGGATCAGGCCGACGATCCGCCAGAACTTCCGACAGCCGCGCACCCGCGTCGGTGATGGAAGTCAGGAGCTCCACCAGCGCCGCCGAAGTACACGGCAGACGCGAAGGAAGTGCGATCGTTCGACCGATACTCCCGAAGAGTTCGGCTCTGGGCAAAACGCGCATCCGGCTGGATGACGGACGGAGACGCAGCGCTCCTCCTCGTCGAAAGCCTGAGCGGCGCAGCCGAGCGCGAGCTCGAGTTCACGCCCCTCGTGGAAATCGAGAACGGTGGTGTGGAGTTTGTCCTCCAGCAATTGGAGGCAAGCTCAAACGAGCACCTGGTCTACCGCAAGCACCACTACCTTCGACAATGGGAAACTGTTCGACGGAAGGTTGGCGAGACCATGCGTGCCTATATCCACCGGTTCGACCAGTTGCACAAGCAACTGAGCCACATCGACGTGGACGTGAAGGCCACCTACAGCGGCGAAGCCCTCGGACATCGCCTTCTGGAAAGAGCTGGTCTGTCCACCGAGCAGGCAAGGATGGTGCTGATCGGATCCGGACAAAGCTTTGCGTACCCGTCCATCCGCGACAGCCTCCTCCTGCAGTACCCGGACACCCTTCCGGTGCCGGCCATTGGCAGTGGGCCAGGCAAAGGGAAAGGGAAGGGTGACAAGAAGGGTGCAAAGCAGGTCCACGTGGCCTCTCACGAGGAAGGCGGAGAGGAGCCACCAGAAGCCGAAGATGATGACAAAGAAGTAGCAGAATGTCCTGACGGTGACGGCACAGAAGCTGAAAAATATCACCCAAGGCCGTCGGTGGACCGACGGAAAAGGAACGTCGAAGGATGGTGACAAGGGATCCACCTCGACCTCAAAAGGGAAGCCCTCCTTCTCCACGAAAGGGAAGGGAAAGGGCAAAAGCAAAGGAGACACAGGCAAGAACACCTCGCGGGTCAACGTCTGCGAAACGGCCCAGGACGAGGGCGATGCCGACGACGGATGGGAAGAGGCAAATGACGGAGACGATCACTACGACAACGAAGAGCAAGAGGATGACCAGTACGAGTCGTTCTTCGTCTTCATGACCAGTCATGAGGACACCTCGGTGGTGAACCCCTCTCCACAGGTGTCTCAGGTCCTGGCGGTGGCCCCCCAGTCCGCGGCAGGCCTGATGGTCATAGACACAGCATGTCAAAAGACCTGTGTTGGCCGCGGGACATACCTTGCCCACTGCGACATCCTAAGGTCTTTCGGCCTGCGGTGTCAGTGGACGGGGCTGGAAGGAGAAGCGATGGTCATTCTGGCCTCTCTCCTGGACGCCAGCATCCCCCTCCTGGCCTCACTGCGACTGCTGAGCCAGCTGGGTGCTGTGCTAGATCTGCCCAAACAAAGTTGCCGCCTCCACAAGATCGGAGTGACGGTGCAACTGGCCAAGACACTTGGTGGCCACTTAGCCTTACGTGTCACCCAGTTCCCCAAGGAGGGAATGCCACGGTCCGCAGACATGTGGCATCACAAACGACAGCCCGGTGTCGAAGTCGTGCTCGACCCTGCAAAAAGCGCCGCCTCCGCTGACGCTGACGCAAGGGGAGGGTCCGAAAGCACCAAGCACACCACACGCAACACCGGGATGGCAGAAGGGACTCACGTCCTCGCCGCAGCTGTCTCAGGCTCAAGCTCAGAAGCCCCAAACAGCACCGCAAGTGTCGGGAATTCCGCCCGGACACGTCGCGCCCTCGCCTCCGCAATGGCTTGTGGCATGGCGCGAGGTGACGGTGGGTCTCCTGACGTTGCTCCCCCGTTTCCTACGACTGGCCACTCAGTGCCGTCGACTCGGAGTAGAGCCAGTGACCAGCATTCTACGCCGTGGTCTGGCCCCCGAGCTGACGCCGGAGAACTGCACACACCCGAGCAACCTGATGCTCCGGTACGGGAATCGGCACGGCAGGTTCACGAGGTGCGCAATGTGCGGCGCCCGGTGGCGCTGGGACGAAGCCATGGGCTGCTGGCTCTCCTTGTCAGCATCCTCGCGCTCGTCACTGCCACTTCCGAGCCGGGACAATACCTTCCCAGCTGCTACGGCGAGTAAGGCAAAGGCCAAGAACACTGCGAAGGCCAGGGCAAAGGCGACTTCCGCGAGTTTCCCGACCCGGGATTTCTCGCCGCCGACCCGCACACGCCAAGCTCCACAAGAGTTCGATCTCCAGAGCGTCATGAGCCAAGAATTTCCGGACGACCAGAGCGAGGTATTCGACTGGAACCAGCCCAGCGACTAGGGCTGAAGAAAGGTCAACGGAAGCAGCTCGCTGCACAGGCTCGACGGGCCCACCAAGTCCTCAGCCTGGAGTACGCCATTCTCGGAAGCGAGTTGGCGAAAGCAGCTGGCGCCCGGCGGAGAGTAACACATAGTGCCGACTTCCTACAAATGACGCCATGTGAAAGGGGTGAGAACCTCACGTCTGCAGGACTACGCTCCCCACAAGAGCAATGGGACATCGCGACACATCGTGGTCGCAAGCAGTGGGTCGAGTCCTTGAGGTATCACAAACCACTTGTGGTCGCGGTCAGACTGGCCGACTCCCCCTCACATGGAACACCGGAAGTGATCAACTCGGTCCTCCGAACTGTTGCGCATCAACAGCGATGCAGCCGATACTGGGTCATCATTGCTCCCAGGACACACCCGGTGTGGAGACACCCAGGCATAAGCCGTTTGGTGACGGAAGGACAACACTTCATCACACGAGCCTCGGAGACCATCGTGTCGAATCACGAGTGGCTCACTCAGGCGTCACCAGGTAGTCCCACCGGACTGTCAGAACGGGTACGGAGGATAGCCCGTGAAATGGATCCAACCCGATTCCATACGGAAGCCCCAGAAAGCAGGCGTACTCCTGCCTGTGGGGAAATGGACAGGGTCTCCACGCGGCCCGTCAATCACGAAACATACTACCTTGATTACGTCCAAGACCCCAAGACATGGCAAGAGGTCATGAAAATGGTGGACGACGTCTTCAGGGGAAGTTCCCAGCAGCAGATCACTCTGAGCCCGGGACACGACATCCGGAAACAGGTGGAACTGCTCATCCCATGGCGGGTGGAAAGGATCCAGATCGCCAAAACACCAAGGGCGCGGCGAATGCCAACTGATATCCCATATACCCACAGAGCCAACATCCTACTATACAACGACGATGACCTGGCCTTCGAGTCAGAAGACGTCGCGAACGTAGCGTTCCCACGGCAGCGTTTCTCCAAAGGAGTTCGATACGCTATCTGTGTGTATGGGTACGCGCCGCAAGACCCAGATGAGGAACAGCCAGTGTACGATGGTCCGCCTGACGGCCACTCACTGGACGACCCCGAGATTCCTCCTGAGGAGGTCCGCGGGTCCGGTATCACCATGCCAAACTGTAAAGCCCCCCGCGACGTTAAACGCGCGGTAGCGAGGCTTCACGTCAACTTAGGGCATCCGTCCTCGGCCGATCTGATCCGAATGATCTCCCAGCAAGGAACGGTGAATCCCGAGACGATAGCAGCAGCTAAGGCCCTGAACTGCACATCCTGCCTGCGGATGAAGAATAATGCGCCACCGAGACCGTCCCGCGTGGTGACAAAGTTCATGGGTCAACTGGGAGACAATATCCAAATGGACATCTTCTATGCCAGAACGGTGGATGGACAAAACCACCCCATGCTCGGCATCGTGGACGAGGCAACAAACCTACAGCAGGTAGCCCGTCTGCCTAACCGAGAGCCGGCATCCGTCTTGAAGGCCTTCAGGGAGGTCTGGGTCCGACCATACGGTATGCCACACAGGATCACAATGGATCAAGACGGCGCGTTCATGGGAGAGTTCTGGACATACGTGGTCGACCAGGCCACGGAAGCGGACTACGTCCCTCCCGATGCCCACCATCGGCTGGGTAAAGCGGAACGCTGCAATGCCGTCTATCGCGAAATCTTGAATCGAGTCGTGGATGGTATGGCAATTGCCACCACCGACGACATGGAACAAGCGATCGACGCAACAACACATGCTATCAACAGCATGCCCCGGACAAGAGGTTTGTCAGCGTATGCCATTGTGTTCGGACGGGTCCCTCGGGTTCCCGGAGAACTCCTGACAGACGAAGCTGCTCTCGCAGCGGATGTTCCCACAGAAGAACACAACAGGCACGCCATCCTCTTCAGGGCAGAAGCCCAGAAGGCCGCAGCGCAGGTCAATGTGGATCAGCACGTCCGCAGGGCATTGCTCCGGAAAACGGCTCACATGAGGGTTCAGGACATAACCCCCGGAGCAAAATGCGCTGTCTGGCGGTCTCAACTGCGAGGAAAAGGCCCCAAAAAGAAAGGTATACGGTATACGTCATTGGTAGACTTGTGACCTTTGACGGTCGCTGCGCCTGGGTTCAGCTGGGGACACAAACGGTCAAGGTAGACCGAAACCAGCTGCGACCGGCGTATGGGTTCGAATCTTGGGCCCCCGACGCAGAAGACATACAAGCGCTAAAAGACGCCGAGAGAAATCTGCTGGACGATAACGTCCAAAGCCTGGAAGGACCACCCCCTCCGGACGACGAACCAGTCGAACCCACAGTCGTCATCCCTCCAACGCCGTCAATGCTGGCACTTCCAGCCCCCTCTACGCCCGCTATGCCATCAACCCCGGCAGCGCCGGCGCTTCATCAGCAGCCATCATCGCCAAGATCCCGCAGGGGTAAGAGGCATACCGAGACGGACGCGCCAGCAAGGGCCTCCGATCAAAAGCGGACGGTCACCCAAGAGGGATGGGACGACGGTCAAATATCAAATTTGATCTGTCACCACGATGATATCGGCCTGACTGACGAAGTCGAGCTTCAAGACTTCGGTTGGGACGGAACCGACTGGGAACCTGGCCACACGGAGCGGCTGGTGAATCTCGCTGAGGTCTTTGCCTCCGAGCACTCGGCTCCCGAACTTCCGTGCGATCAAGAGGACGCCATCGAGGACACCCACACCTCGTGGCAGGTCTGCTACGTCGGTGACCAAAAGGCCTTGGTCAATACCGAGAAGCTGACTCGGAAGGAGCTGAAAGCGCTCAACAGGGAAGTTCCATGGCGGGAAATAGTCCACCAAGGAGGAAGCGTACTCCGAAAATATGTGGAGTCAGCTCGAAAGGAACACGAGCAATGGCAAGCATGGTCCTCGGTCAGACCTCTCAGCGACCAGGAAGCCAATGCCGTGTTATCCGATCCCGTCCTCAGGACGCGCGTCTTAAAGAGCAGAGCCTGCTATCGGGGCAAAGCGCAGGGACAGGGAGAGCTGAGAGCCAAGTGCCGCGTGGTGGTGTTAGGCCACAGAGAGATCCCGACCTGACCACCATCTCACGCGATGCGCCAACTCCCAGCAGACTGACCGAGCACCTTCTCCTGGTCATCTACATCAGCGGTAGGAACCGCGCGTTCCTTGGCGACAAAAGAGTGTGGCGATTATGGTGTGCAGACGCCACTACCGCATTCCTGCAAGGGACACAGCAGGACGGAGAGAGACCCAACAGGCTCTTCATGCAGAGTCCGCGGGATCCCATTCTGCTACAGGCAGGTGCCTTCCCAGCCACAATGTACGAGATACACGGAAACGTGTACGGGTTGGCAAACGCCCCCCGATTGTGGAGTCTGGAAGTAGGCAAGCGCCTCCTGTCCGCGGGATTCAGGCCACACGCCTTAGATCGCATGTGCTTCTTGCACTACGACAAAGAAGGTCGTCTCGACTGTATCAGTTTGGTGTACGTCGATGACTTCCTCGTCACCTACGCGGACAATTTTGATCTGACCATCATTACCGCACTGTTCAAATGGGGCAGCACATCAGACGACACGGATGTGATCACCTTTAAGGGAAAGCAGCTCCGAACAACCAAGCGGGATGGTAAGTTCGTCCTCCTGGTTACCCAGACCGAATACATCCGGTCACTGGCGCCAGGGAAGGTCACACGACAGAGAGCACGGGGTGACGAACAACTAACTGAGGCAGAGCTGCAGGAATTTCGCAGTTGCTGCGGGGCCCTACAATGGGTCGTGGGACAAACACGTCCAGACGGGTGCGCCACTGTCAGCCTGGCGAACCACGGAAACGAAAGCACCCTCAGCGACCTAAAGACATTGTACGGTCTCATGGAACACTTCCAAAGGACAAGCCAGGACGGCTTGGTCTTTAAGGGCATCCCAATCACCAAGGAGACAGTCTTGGTGACGTACGGGGACTGCTCGTGGGCAAATGCCCAGGGCTACAAGTCCCAAGAAGGACTCCTGCATGGTGTGTCTGACGACGCCCGGAGCACTCCAAGGCCCGACAGATGCGGTCATGATCGACTGGAAGTCGACACGGACACCGCGGGTCGTGAGAAGCACGATGGCTGGTGAAGCTTACGCCGCCGACGATGCTATCGATCGTGGAGTCTACGTCAACCAGTGCCTTTGTGAGTTGATTTTCGGTGCAAACGCGTCACCACTATCCAACCCACAATACCTCAGGCACCTCCACGCCACGGACTGCAAGTCCCTGTTCGACGCAATCATCGCGTCTAACTTCCAGACAGAAGAGAAGAGAGTTGGACTCACGGTTCGGTCTATCCAAGAGACCATCGGACCAAACGACATGCGATGGGTTCCGACCGGCGCCATGCATGCGGACGGTCTTACCAAAATAGCAGATTGGCTACGAGCCCAGTTCCTGGACTGGATCAGGAACCCAACGGTCCAACTCCGATCAGAGGTGTAAGCGTCCTCGATCCGATCTGAAGGTGCGCTACAGCCTCGATCTGTTTCACAACTAATCAGCCCCTGGCACGGCTTTTGGACCAACAAAAAGTTGGGAGTGTCAGTTTGCAACGGTTTGCAAGGTTTCACTAGGACAATACGTCCGATACCCCTTTTGGCCCAAAACCGGGCACAGGGCCCTTGAGTCTTAGCGCGCAGCGCCGAAAAGCCGCACTACGGTGCATAACCAACAATTATTACTGTATCACTATATCTACCATTATTTACCTGCATAACTGGGCATAACTGGGCCATTTTGAAGGGTATTGCTGTTGGCAAATACTCCACCGCTGGTGCAGCGAAGGGACGGGTTGAAACAAGGCCAAGTTGCAATGCATTGCCATGGGCGGCAAACCCAGCTAGCCAGAGCTCGTTTTACTTAGAGGTCCATAGCTTCAGGCCACCAATTGGTTGACTACTGACCTTGAGTTGTGTCTTTGCAAGGTATGGAGCCTGTAAAGTACCCTACATGGCGCTTGAAGCCGAAGATGCTAGTAAGACCAGTTCCGTCTTGGAAAGGGATTCATCAACAAAAATTGAAACCCTGCCATCCTAGCTGGTAGTGGTAGTGTCGAGGGTACTTTCTGTCAGACCTGTATGGAGGTTTGTGTGCAAGCTTGAAAAGGAAATTCTTTGTGCAAAGTTTCCTTGATGGTGCGGTACTGAACAAAGTGCGGCCGAAGTTTCTGAAGGTCCGAAAAAAGAAAAAACTATGCTGCAAGAGTCCGGCTTGTCACTACGTCACCAAATGGAGGGATATCGAGAAGGTCAATTCCACATTTTTGGGGCCCAGGTGATTCAACGTTTGGCGCGATTGGCATAACATCGGTGAAACAGTGCAGATGGAACTAAAGAACTACGAAAGAATCACAAACCAGAAAAGCGTTTGCCACGACTCGCACAACTTGCGCCACTTGCAACCTCGCAGCAGCCAGGGTCTCTGGCAACATAGACGTGGCAGGGGCAGCGCTATTTCTCCGCTATGTGGATTTCAAGAGTGACGCCAGACACTAGCTGCCTTCAGTGACAGTATAAGATTGTAGGCAAGGCAAGCGCTTTCCTCACAGGCTGTTTGATCCCGTGTCAAACAAACAAAAATGACGTGACCATGACATCCGTAAGAAGCAGCATCTGCACTCCTGTCAACAATGTGTGAAAGAGCAAGCAGTTGCCACTGCCTTTAGATCAGAAAGAAGCTGGAAATTTGAGGTCACCCCAAATCCCAGACCATGTTTTCTGGTCCAGATTACAACAGAATTTGACGATGATTGCGGTTTGCTTATTGCTGCATGGAGCCAAACATCGGCTGAGAACTGAAGTTTTTAAAGTGCTCAGAATCGATTTCTGAATCGTGGAATGCCAGAGTCCTTCAGTGCATCTTTCGAGGTGGGCAATCCCCAGTGAAGCCAGCGCCCGGGCACAACCTGAAAGCTTTCCCACAACCTTGCTGGATGAACAGCAGTCAGAATTTCCAGTGATCTTGTTGCAAACCGCAGATCACCGTTCAAATTGGGGGAAGCGAGTGGTTTTCAACACCATAGGATGATGAAGCTAAGTGGCTCTTGGAAATGGTGCTCGCGCCGGAGAGTCCTTTCCCTGCTGCTTTTGTGTTCAAGTCAAGCTCCAGAGCGGATGTGTAGCATGGATTTTGAGATAGAGCCAAGGGCAAACGACACATGTCTGTGAGTCTCGCAAAGTTTGTTTCTCTGGTTCTCCATTCAGCGCAAGTATTCGGGAGAAGGAGTTGATTCCAGTGCAGATCAGCACTGGTGCTGATGTCAAATCAAGCCTTTTGGCAGCGAGAGTGACATGTGCCATCGCTGCAGACATTCAAAAGCCACACGTAGCACACAGATTCTGAAGATGTGAAATCCTTCTGGCGCTGAAAATCAATTGGCGTTTGCCGCAAACAGTATCTGGCCGCTCCCTTGAGCGTGACCCTGGACAGAAATTCGAGAGATGTTTCCACACGCGATGTGCCCTTTTCGGATTCTCAGCAAAAAATCGTTGAGAAAAAGTCGGTGCAAAGTGGCAGCAGCAGCATTGTGTGGTGACGGGTGAAGCCAGGTGGGAGATAACTACAGTTTTCAGTTTTTGATGTGCAAAAGAAGCTGCATAAGCTGCATAAGCCATCCATTTCGTTGTCTTCAGTGTCAAGTTCGGGGTATATATATAATATATATATATGGGAGTCGTTGTAAAACCCATGCAAGACTTTTAGTAACCGAGTGACATCTGCAGATATGGACGCGTGTTTTGCTGCAGTGGCGAAAGGCCGCGAAAGCGCGGCGAAAGGTTCGCGAAAGGTCTAAATACACCTATATGACTAGATGTATGTGATGATAATTTTGGGAGTTTTTCCATATAGCAATGGGTTTCAGTATTGGAATTGAAACACACGCCCATCCTCTCATGAAACATGAGTCTTAAGAATAACTTTTGTAGGCGAGAAATCCGCGAAAGGTTCCCGGAAGGTTTGAGAAAGGTTGGCGAAAGGCGAGTCTGCCAGGATCCCACCTTGGCCCACTTAGGCGAATGCTTCATATTTATAGTTGTCACAGGAAGTTGGGAAGCAATCTTCCGAGTTACGGACAAATAGAATTGGGTGACCTGGGGAAGTGATGGCCTGGGGAAGTGGTGACTTGGGGAAGTGGTGACTAAGGCACTAAGGGAAGTGATGACCTGGGGAAGTGATGACTTAGAGAAGTATGACTATGGGAAGTGGTGGCTAAGGGAAGTGGTGACGAAGGGAAGTGGTGGCTAAGGGAAGTGGTGACGAAGGGAAGTAGTGACTAAGGGAAGTGGTGACTTAGAGAAGTGGTGACTAAGGGAAGTGGTGACTAAGGGAAGTGGTGACTTAGAGAAGTGGTGACTAAGGGAAGTGGTGACTAAGGGAAGTGGTGACTTAGAGAAGTGGTGACTAAGGGAAGTGGTGACTAAGGGAAGTGGTGACTTAGAGAAGTGGTGACTAAGGGAAGTGGTGACTAAGGGAAGTGGTGACTTAGAGAAGTGGTGACTAAGGGAAGTGGTGACTAAGGGAAGTGGTGACTTAGAGAAGTGGTGACTTAGAGAAGTGGTGACTAGGGGACGGGTGACTTAGAGAAGTGGTGATTTAGGGATACATGCGGGTTTGCCATGTGATGATGCAAAACGCTTTGTAATGGCTGCGTGAATGTTGCATGGCGTTCGTTTTGGAGCTACTGCCTAACGTCGCTCCTTGTTGGTTGCTCTGGCCTCTTGCTTTCTTCTTCTGTCTCTTCCTTCCTCTTCCCCGGTTTCTCTTCCTGCCTCGCCTTTTGCTTCTTCCTCTTGCAGCTGGCTTTGTTCTGGCTTCTTGCTCTTGCTCCTTGTGCGAGCTGCCTTCTCGCTTCTTTTGCTGTCTTTTCTTCTCTTGCCTCCTGCTTCTTGTTCTTGCTTTTGTCCTTCTGTTCCTTCTTGCTAGCGTCACTCCGAAACAGCATGCCAGTGGCTTGTGTGACACGAAGCATTTGTTCAAGGCAGCATAGGGACCCTATCAGCGAATTGACAAGCGTTGGCAATTCCAAGAAAAGGATTGCATCTGGCTCACAGCGGGGTGTTTGTTGACAAGTACTTAGGATTTGGGAGTCAAACAGACACATATGGATTGTGATTGTGTATGCTTCATCAGCCAAAAAGGAAGTATGGTTGGACGTATTGAATGTATGCCATCGATTTTTCCTACCTGTTGGATTGTTGTTGAAACCGGTTGAACATGTACAGCAACATGTACACCCCGCATCCATTGTGTGTGCATCGAATCAGTATTTCGTAGCCCTGCGAACCGCAAGAAATGTAGAGACCGGAAGGGCCGGCCATGGAATGAACTTTGTCCGATTTGCCCCTATTGGTCATGCTTTCGCAGGTTTTTGTGCTCCGGTGCTTGCATTTAGCCTTTGTTGATCGATCGTCTCATGACCAGAATCTTGGCTGAGCGCCTCCTTGCGGAATTTCGGATAGAATCTACGGGCTGACTTTAGAGTCTGCCTGTTTTGAAGCAGAGGAAGAGTGAAACAGACAGATCTGCATCTGTTTTAAAACTGGCTGTGCCAACGTATGTGCCCTTGAAGTCCAGTGTTTCAGTCCCTGCTTTCACCTTCCCGCCCCAAGGGTCAAAACTCGTTGGGTTTCATGAATCCACCAGCGGCTTAGTGGAAATTCTCGTTGGAACTTTTCCCATCCCTTCCCAAAGAACATGTACAAAATGAAAGGAACAGAACTGATGCACTTTGCAAAAGGCTGGGAGAGGTGGAAACTATTGGAGCTTTTGCCTTTGCTGCGAATCCTGCGTGTTTTGGGGCATCGCAACATCGCAGGTAAGTTGAGTGGTGCATTTTGAAGACTCGTTCCCATTAGCATCATTAGCCAAGTTAGAAAGATATTCCTGCCGCGTGCATGTTCTCAGAGTTTCCGACGCAAAGAATTCTCAAAGGGAACTGGCGACGTGATATGGACTTGCAGCCGTGCGAAGGAAGCGCTGTGAGGGCAGATTCACCAATTTTTCACGTTGCAAATTCTTGTAGGTTTGTTGCTTGCTCCTTCCCCTCCCTTGTGAACAGTATAACTTCTAGGAGAAGCGAATAGTTCTCCACGTTTTTGGAACCACAACATGGATTTCAACATGGTTTGGGAAAACCTGAGCCAGCAGCTATGGGAGGATATCCCTTTGTTCACCTTTACTGAATTGTGATAGAATCTTTAGTGCCTCACAGAGCCACGCAACAAACTTGGCCGCACACCAGAAGTATTTCTTGATACAGGGGTATTTGCAACTGCAGTCATGTGCTACTTTGGTTCCTTTGAGGAACCAGGCTCAGCGCTCCTTTCACACGTGATTGCTTTTTCACTTCTTAATTCATACCCCTCTGTCCAAACCTGCCAATTCTTGAGATGACTGACGTTTGACATGTTTCTTTCCGAGTTTTGAGTGTGCGCTTTCAAGCT